CCCACAAAATACAGTAAATGTGCAAGAGCTTGTCTTTGTGCCATTTTTCCAAAGATGTATTGACGGAAGTAGAGACTTACAGTGCATGCTGACATGTGCGAGGTGCAGAGAAAGCGCAGCTCGTCACCACATACATTTCAAAAGAAGAGTGGGGCTTAAAGGAATAGTTTGACATTTTCTTATGCCTACTGGGCGGGAGAGGTTACATGAGAAGACTACTAACTATAAGCGCTACAGCCAGCAGCTGATTAGCTTAGCTAAGCACAACTGCTCTGAGCAGTTGCCAGGCAACCAACAGAGACTACAGGAAGTTACTGGTGTCAGCCAAGAAACATTCACATACCCTTTGTAAAATAGCGAATTTCCGAATTTATACTTAATTGATACTTTATTGATTAAACAAACCATAAATGTTGAACTATTCCTTTATTGTGGAGAACAGTGCAGCATGTCCCTGTAAGAGTTAAATGCTTAACTAAATGATGTATAGATGTATAGATTTCGACAATAGCCCTGGATGCATAATTTCAAACAAATCCTTAGATCTTTTTTTGACTAAAGATACCAAATATTAATAAAACAGGGAAATGTGAAATCAGCCTAAATACGACATGCAGAACATTTATATTAGGTATAATGGTCTTGAAGCTGCAGAACAAGCAGATACAAAACATTCATGTGACACTGTCAAACAAGGTGAAAGAAAAAAACATTTGTAGCTTAATAAGGGAAAACTTAATATCAGGGTTTGAAATGAGCACTTCATAGAGGATTCAGAATCTCCATGGTTACCAGTTTTTCTCTCTCTCTCGACAGCTTGTTTGGAAACAAACTGCGTGACCATGGAGTGCTGACCCTGTTGAATGGAATAGCTGAGCTGCAGGAGCAAACAGCGAGAGCTGCTGCTGCCATCCAACAGGCAATGCTTTTCCCATCTGAGCAGAACATGCTTCTGCAGGTGCCCACCGGATGGAGCTCTTTCAGGGTTTTTGCGCTTTTAGAACTGGATATTGGGGGAAATGGCTTAAGCAGCGACGGGATAAAGGTGTTAGCATCATATATGAGGCACCACTCTTACCTTCAGTATTTAGGGCTGGCGCAGACCAGCGGTGCCGACCTGGCGGCATGGAAGGAACTCTTCGACAGCCTCAAAGGAAACAGCTCGCTGAGTCAGATCATCCTAGACGAGAACAACTTGGGGGACCCAGGGGTCAGGCTGCTGGCCGACATGCTGAAAGAGAACATGAGTCTGCAGCAGGTGGATCTGGACAGAAACGGCATCAGTGATGTGGGAGGAAACGACATCATGGGGGCCTTGTTATGCAGGACGCAGTTCCCGATGAGGCATCTGAGCCTTCAGGAGAACATCATTAGTGCAGGGCTAATGAGTAGAATACAGGAGCAGGTTAAATGTAAATGAATCCTGCAGGACTGAGAGAACCCAATTCCAAACCATGAGAACCTACATAGCATACACAGCACTGACTTGAGAACTGCTAAGATTTTTTGTTTACATTTTGAGGTTTTGAGAGGAAAAAACCTGACTCATTTGGCTTGGTCGACCTTCAAACACACACACAAAGATCTCTTCCTTCCTATAACTGGGTGGCCCTGCTAACAAATGCTGCATCTGAGTTTAGCTCAGGCAGGTAGTGTAGGAGGCATGTTTGCTTTAGGGCTGCGCTGTGGTCTTGATGCGTTTTCAAAGAGATCTCAATAAACAGAACTTTTCTTCTTTGTGGTGAGGTTACATCTTCACCTTGAGTTTTTTTTTCTTCTTCTTCCCACTAGCATTACCCCTCATGACTGTGTACCTCCTACTTTGCTAAAACTGACTCCAGCACAAGGCTCACTGATCCCTCTGTCATTTTATTGAATAATTTGCTGCCTCCTGACGAAAACCACAGTGATTCATTCCACCCACGGTATTTACAGGTCATGTACCTTCAGAACATTTCAGTGGCCAATCTCCTTTCTCCACTTCCACAAATCAAAAGAGAGTTATGGACAGCTAATCTATGCCACGTCAACTACCCTCATTTTGTCATTCTTGTCTCTTCATGTGCTAGACAGAGCTGCTATTCAGAATGTAAGTATGATGGGGGGGAAGAAAAACTAGGGCAAATTCATCTGCATTTTGAGGCCGTCAACTCATTGTTCTATCAACACTGACGTTCTGAGAATAACTGAACCTATGATCAAAGCTTGTCAAAGTGGTAATTATCTCCTCCTCTCAGGGCTGCCAGTAGTGATTCTGCTGAAACCAATCCCTCCATATTTCATCTGCAGTCTTTGCGAATTCCTTTCTGCGGAACCCCGATAAAGACGCTCTCCGAAGCCCCAGAGGATGACAGATAAATTAGACTGGCGCACCTGAAGATTACATCTGCAAAAGTCATCCTGCTCTGCTGTATCGGACTGAAAATGCCTTTATTTGTTGTGTTGTGGTGGCATACATTTAAAACTCTGTAGACAAGATGTCTGGTTCTGGGTGTCTTATTTTGTAAGTCAATTCTTGGTATCTAAAGTCTTACAGATAAGCCAGCTAAGATTTTGCTATCAGCACTATAAAGAGCCCAAGTTTCTTTTCTTTTTGACTGTTGATCTTCTAAGATCTCAACAGCCACATTTGTTGTAGATTGAGCACAAAACTAAGTGGTACACCATCATGCCTGGCTGAGCATAAGCTGGAAAACAAGAGCCGCACTGTAATTCACAGACTCCTTCGATAAGGCCTTCGTGCTTCTCTGTTACAAGTAAATCTCAGATCAGTGACCCCATTGTTCATCTGCTAATGTTATCTGTATTTGGCCTGAAACAAATCCTGCAGTGTTACAAGCTTCTTTCAACCGCTCTTCCAAAAACAAGGCCTTCAATCATAGAAGCTCAATCTGTTAGGAATTTACAGGTTTGCTTGAGAAAGAGTTTCCCCTTTCAGGCCTTTGTAGGTTAATGTATCATATCTCTTGGTGCTTTAACTGTACAGTCACATGAGGCCTGGCTAGTGAAGTGTCCACTGTTGTACAGCCCAGAAATAATCAGGCTACACATCATTTATCAACATTTTGTTGATAAGAACTGATCTATAAGACTAATAGATGAATTACAGCTGGAAAGTTGCATATACACCTTTTATGGTATACAAGGGTTTAGTTTCAGACAACCAGTGCTGTGGGGAAAATGGAGAGTGGAAATTCTTGGGAATTGAGTTTCTTGACTGTGACTTAGGGCAAAAACAAAACAAATGAAGTGAACAATGCTTACTCAAGGGAAGTTCAGTGATTCAGACTTCCTTTACGTTTCCTGGGCAGGGTGATGCAATTTATTTCCAGCATATGAAGGGTCAATGTCTTTGCAGTTTGCAGGGCATTCACTTTTGATGTCTTTGTAATAGAGCACCTCTGGATACACACAGATAAGCAAAACATTTTCAACTTCAAAGTGCGTCTCTAGGGATGGCGATGTCAGGTTGGTTCACCATTTTATTATATGTATTGATATTATCAACAACAATCAACAATATTGGATGGATTGCCATACATTTTGTACAGACATCCCAAAAGGATGACTTTGAATAACTATGGTGATGTCCTGACTTCTCATCTCGTGCTATCACTTGATTTTTTGACCATCCGACAAGCACTTTTGAAGACGCATACAGCAGCTTCAGTCTTGTTACATCTGTATATGTGCATGAAATGTAAAATAAAAAACTACCTCTAAAAGGTATCTGGGAAAAAAAATTGCCTTTAGTCAGACATTGTAGACAAGAACACCAGTCCATTGAAACCCTGCTTAATTTCCATCACCACCAAAATTAACACCAAAGCCTGCTGGGACTGACTGGATCCACTTGCAGCATCTGTGCCATGACTCAGTGACGTGAGGAAATGGATGGGCAGGGGTGTATATTTGTGTACAGTGGGCCTGTTTTCAGCCCACATGCAGAAAGCCAGGTGCTGTGTTTGTATTTACGGAAGCCCTGGGGGAGGTGGACCTCTGTCAGAACAGCGCACCGTCTGTTGGGTCCATTGAAGTCCGCTCTGTACTGACCGCAGGCACTCTCTAATTTGTTTTGTCTAGTCTGTCCAAATCAGATGTTACTTGTGCAGCTTGACCAATTGAAGGCCGTCTGTGGTTAATGCAAAAATATTTTTTCACATGGAGACTTGCTGCAAGCCCTGAAACATGGCCTGGCTTTGTGGCTTGCTAAATAGAATCACTCTGCTAGACTATGTGTGGATGGAAAGCTAATCAGGTACGCTACAGCATGCACAAAATACTATGATGTGTTCTTTATTAACAGCAGCATTAAGATCTGTGTCTCTATCTTTCTAACCTGTTGCAGTAAACAGTCAGAGAGGAGCAGGAAGTTGATGTTGGCTCATACTAGCAGAGGATGAATGTGGAGAGGCCTGGCTGAGGATGAGAGTGAAGGTTTCTAGATTCGTGAGATGAGGCACTGCAGTGAGATCTCTTAGTGGGGCCTCTCCATAACAGATCCCCCTTTCATTGTCCAGAATAAGCAGGGAATTTATAGACTGCAATTGTATTATCATAGTGGTGCCTAGGGCAAGATAAAACTGAGGGGTCATGAATAAAATTATGTTTATTTTTCTAACTTTTCTAAAACATTGCTATTTTCTTTTCTTCTAGGTTGTTCTGTCCCTCTAGGCTTCCAAAAATGATTAAAATTAAACAATCTACGAAAATAATAGTGGATGACATGAGTAGCAATATGTGGGTCTAATGCAACAGCCCTTAAAGTCTTCAGATTATAAATAACTGTATGTTCAGTGCGCCCTGCAATGCCACATTCTCTACAGTGACACAGCATTGTGACAATGGTGAATAAAAAGTTTTAGAGTCCGCTCCTCAAACAATGGCTCCTGCTGCTGTTTGACATTTGGCAGAAAGAGCAGCTTTTCAATATGGATTATTCATCAGCGGTTTGATCCTCCACTCAAATGTCACCACAACAATGCCTCCAACTTGGCAGCAGCGTCTGTCTTTCTGCAGCTCTGCGGGGTAAGGAATTGGCAATAATTACCACATCTAATGTGGCCTTCGGAAAGATTCAGACTTTGTGTTCAAGTGCTTTTGCTTTTCATTATTATCATTACCATTTTATTGAGAAGTAAGGAAAGAAAATGAGAATCTTGGCTTACCACATTACTGCAATATTGTGCTGCATGCTCTGACTTATGATATCTTCTGAGCTGTAAAGATGCCTAATGCATTAAATGTGTGAACTGCTGCAGTCTATCATAGTGCTTCAGATGGATGTAACAGACCTGTGGCCATGAAAATGCATTTATTTAAATACAGCTTGACCTTAACCCAAACACCAAAACATGTCCTTAATAACAACCTGCCATTCATGAAAACCTGAATGCTCCTGATATTTCATCATGCATTATTTGTATGGGCTAAACCCTTTGTGAAACCTTGATTTGAGCTGTAAAGCTTGAAGTTTCAAAGCAGCACTCTTTTCCTTTTTCTGTTAAAAGCTATCTCTCTTTGTGCTGTAAAGGCTGACTCTGAACTGGTAGAAGATAATGTAAATTAGTTTTTATTTTTTTTTAAGTCTTTACACCAGCATTAATTGATTTGTTGGATGTGAGGTAGCTGTAAGCTGTAAACACAGATTTGACATCATCTTGTAAAGCTGATACGGGAATGTGTTTGCAAAAAGTTGCCTATTCACACATCGAGCAAACACATGACATTTTGTGTCATGTTTTGGTTAACTCAAAGAATTTTAGTACAATAATCACTCTTTTTTCATGTCTACCATCTCCCGAGGGAAATATCTAGAATTTTAGCAGCTAAATGCTCCACTGTGTTAATAGCTAGTTGCTGCCTTTGTGAGCCTGTTATTTGGTGTTGGGCAGGTGTTTATAAAGGTGGGACTGGTGAGACTGAACCAAAACCGTAAAAAAAAATGTGGGCCAAAAACCAAACCAATGAGCTTCAAGATGCTAAGACACAGAGGACAAATGTAGAGTCAAGTGATAATTCTGTTTGTGTCATTAGTAGCAACCCCACAACTCACATTATACATTATATCATTTGTAAATCTAAAAGTCTTGATTAGAGAAGCTTTAAAGAAGAAATTTCCTGTATGCAATACTGCAAGTGTTTTTGTTTACAACACTAATTCTATTTTGTAATATATTTATTATAATATTAATATAATAGTAATATTATTTCCTTAAAACAATTCAATTCAATTTATTGTCCTCAAAGGGGGAAATTCATGTCCACATCACTGCACCTGCAGGCAACACCATACACTCAACAAAGAAACACGCTATCCACAATTAACAAATCTACAGAAAAACAAAAACAAAAATAAAAAACAAACAATCGAATAAATAATACATGACAGGTTACACACTTAGTGCGCCCCTTTGTTTAAAGCAGCAATGCAGGGATCAGGCTTTTCCCATAGCGAGCTTTCTTGCACCTCAATGTTCGGTACCTCCGTCC